AAAAAGAAAAAGAAAAAGAAAAAGAAAAAGAAAAAAAGAAAAAGAAAAAAGAAAAAGAAAGCCTAGAATATTCTCCAGCTACTTTTTCTGTAAATATGTTCTGTACTAAAAACTAAACACTGCAGGAACAAATGCGATGGTTCCCTAAACAGCAGGTCAGGGTGGCATGATTGCTGCCCTGACATTATTGCTGCTCAAATAATGGGAAAATACATCACAAAATGCTGGCTTCTCTCTCCATCCTGCTCCCATGTCACCTGCAAGAGCCACACTTGACCAGTACTTGTCATATAAAAATGTCCCCAGTTGGGAGGAAATTCCTGCCACAGAGGTGGCACTCATTCTGCACTATTTTCAGGTATTTCTGTGGTGAAAAGAGAGATCTGAGATGTCTGCATCCTCCAGTCTGCCCTGCTCACCCAAAGGATTTTGAGACCAGAGGGGTTCATGCATCAGCTGCAGCCTTCCCTTATGCTGGCTCTAAATCACCATCTGGCACTGCGTGGTTTCCATCACCTGGGAAACATGAATATGGATCAGTGCAGTCTTTCTTCCTCTCCTTCCCCCTGTCCCTGCCATGGGCATGCTCTGTGCTTACATCTGCAGCTTCAAGGGCTGCAAATACCAATAAAAATCCAAGCAAATGAAAGCTTCAGACTGCATTCCAATTGAATGCAAACAAGATGTTTTTAGAAAAAGCCCTGTTTCATTCACTTATATGCTCTCTGCTGATTTAACCTCACACTGAAGTTTTTTGGGTTGATATAAAGTGGTAACATTCCATTCTGGTATCTCCTCTCTTTTTCTCCCCAGGCCCCAAGATGGTCTCAAATGCACTCTTATCCACCTTCCTACTGCAACAGGTAGAAAATCTGTTTAGAAGTAGCAGCAAGAGCACCACTCCTCTGTGGTCATTCCCACCATGCCTGCTCCAGGGCAGCACCACCAGGGCAAGTCAACCTACCTAGCCTGGGCTCCTACAGCAAGTATTGAATTGATCTCAGGGCATGCTGCAATCGAACAGGTCTCCATGTGAGAGTTAAAGCAGTGCTGTGTCTTAACCACTGAGTTAACATTTTGAAATTTAGATGAACCCAAGTCTCTATTTCTTTCTGTATTTCTACAGTACCTAGCACAGCAGCACTCAGATTCATCTGTGATGTTCCCAGGCATGGTCCCAAAACAAACAAGAAGTTGCAAATCAGCAATCTGAATCACCCACTAAAGCGAAGAGGAGTGTGCCTTTGTTTCCATTGGAGCAGAAACAATCTCTATATCATTTCCAGATCAAGAAACAGAATCCAGGAGGTCCAAATTCTTTGGCCTGGCTACCAGGCCTCGAATGGCTGACTGTAGGGGCACAGCACAGCAGGGTTAATATTCACTATTGCTGTAAAGAAGTTGAGTCACATGGTGCTGTTTGTGACCCCCTCCCAAGCTAGCAGCAGCCTTGTGAGGGTGTAGCTGGCACAGCATCAGTCAGCAGGACCCTGCACCAGGTAGTGCTGGTGAAACTCCCTGCAAACAGCAGGGAAGGCCTGTGAACAGTCCTTTGAGGTCATGTTGCTCATGAGACCCATGTCTGGAAATAAATAACCAATCATTTCTACCTCCAGCTTGTCTTCACTTAAACTGTACATCCCTCCCTCCCTGCTACTGTTCAAATTAATTTGGACCCTGACTCAATGAAGCATTCAAATGTGTGCTCTGGTTCAACCAGTGGTCCTGGTGGAGCAGAGAGATGGGGTGATGCCAGGACAGGTGTCAAGTTCATCCCTGTGTATTTGCCTGTGGATATTAACCACTTTTGCAGGAAGATGGTGACCCCTGCTTGATTTATCCCCAGAAGAAGAGCTGTGCAATCTCTGCTCTCCTATGCCCTTAGTGCATCCTCCTTGTCCCTGCTACCCTACTTGGCAATGCTGGCAGATTTGTGGACTAGGCTGGATCTGCCACAAAGTGCTGGGGTGGTCTTGCCATGGTTTAGTCCCAGATGGCAACTCAGCCCCTCACAGCCACTCGCTCACTCCCTCTGCCCAGTGTGATGGGAGGGTAAAACTGAGACAAAGACAGTCTGATAATGAAAGCAAAGGCTGCACACACAAACGAAGCAAAAAAAGGAATCAGTTTACTCCTTCCCGTGGGCAGGCCAGTGTTCAGCCATCACCAGGAGAGCAGGACCCCATCACATGTAACTGTGACTTGTGAAGGTGAACACCTTCATTCCAAATCCCTTCCAAAACCCTTCCTCCTGCTCACCCCACTTTACATCCTGAGCATGATGCACATGCTGTGGAATATCCCTGGGTCAGATGTCCTGGCTATGCCCCCTCCCAGCTCATTGTGCACCCCTTGCTGGTGGGGAGAGATGAGGAGCAGAAAAGTCCTTGATGCTGTATAAACTCGGCAATAATGAAAACATCCCTGAGTTAGCACTGTTTCCAGCACAAATCCAAAACACAGCCCCATACCAGCTACCGTGAAGAAAATCAACTCTACCCCAGCCCAAACCAGCTCAGGTCTCTACCCAGGGCTCTTTGCCTCTGCTCTTTCATGCCCACAGCTCTGTGCAAAGGCAGTGGATGGGGTAGGCTGCAGCCCAAATCTGGGAAGGCTGTGTCCTTTGTGAGTCTGGTTAGATGGAGTGTCACAAATCCAACAGGTCCCCAAATGCCACCAGCAAAAGGGCAAGTGGGTTTTTCTGGCCCACTCCCATGTGAAGAATAAAAGCAGGGGCACAAAGCAAACAGACAAAAGGCCTCAGTAGAAACTGAGGATACTCCATCCCTTGGAACAGCTTTCCACCTCTGAATAGATGAAATCCAAGTGCAAATATGGGCGTGCTCAGGGACAGATGATAAAGATTGATGCCATAAGCAAAGCAACATGATCTTAAATCTCGTGATACAAGTGTGGGAAGCCACTCAGAGGAGCTAGAAATCATGCAAAATGATGGGGGCTATGAACTCAGGAGCTTAGCTCTGGTCTGCTGGGATTGCTGACATAACTCCCATCTTAGCACATCATCTGTTTAGGGAGAGGAAAGGGAAACAGCAGGGGTGCTGTTGTACATCAAGTGTACATACCTCTGCCAGCAACCTGCCACTGGACGATGAAGAGTGTGGTGATGGAGCCACAGAGCCAGTGCATGCAGGATGTGGAATGAAAGGGAAAGCAGTGAGGGCTCTCCTCTGGACCACCAGGACTGGGGAGCAGGAGAGCAAAATGTCTGCACCGACTCTTAAACTGCCAGAAAAGATGCAAGGGAGAAGCTGTGATCCCCAACTGGGGCTGAGGGTGTCTGCTGGCAGCCAGACATCTCTGTGTTTATATTCCAGCTGCCTTCCCTGGAAAGTGCACAGAGTCTGGCACTTCAGAGCAAATGTAAAACAGCAGGGACTTTGATTCACAACTGGGATTTATCTAGGTACTGCCTGTAGTCTTTGTGGTAAGGCTCAGGTTTTATAGTTCACTGCCCCAGGTTGTGGCTCATTGTGAGAGAGGCCATTAAAAAGAGATTTACAGAAGATACAAGAGAACTGCACAAATTATCCACTAAGACCAAGCAGAGTCACTTCTCTCCAGCCAGAATTAGATGCCTTATCCTGTTCCATCCCTTTTTCTTGCAGAAGAAAGGTGCACAGAGGAGCATTGTGCTGCCACACTGTTCCTGTATCAGTAATGTGAGCAGGGAGAGGTCTGGGTCTTGGCCCTGGTGTTTCACACACCCCTGGACCATCCAGCAGAACTCAGAACAGACTCCAGAATAGTTTAACCCAGACAAGGGTCTCCCCAGGGAGCTTTCTCCAGTATCCTCATATGGAAAGGAAGAGACATCATCCTCGTAGAAGGAAACTGGGCCATGATCTACACATCACATTTATAAACAACCAGGGGGCTTGCTGGTTTATTTACTCATTAGTACAAGTACAATATTAGACACTGGAGATCTGGTTCCTCTAGATTCACATCTTCCATCACTATGGAGGGTGCAAACTATATGATGTGGAGAGATTTGTCTCTGCTGCTTTGTCTCTGCTGCTGGAGTTCTAGTCTTATGAAAACAGAATGCATTTATTGAAGCAGACACTGGACACCTCATCCATCAACCCTTAGACTCATTGCACCTTGTACATTAGAGCTATTGCTGACCCAAAGAAGAATAAATTGTCTCATATGATGTGAAAGATCCACAAAAACCCAGCATTTAGAAAGGCCCACTCCAGCATCAGACAGTCTGATAGCTAGGATGCTCTCGAGGGCTCCTGGAAAGACCTGCCTTTCTCTCCTTCATCCCCAGACAACGACACTAATCCTGTAGGCATGTGTCAACATTTGGCACTTCCTTACCCTGGCAGTATTGGCCTCACACTTCACCCATGCCCAGGAGACCTCATTCTCCTTAGACCAGACTCAATGTCACCCAGGTTGAGGCACACAGCTATATTTGTGCCATGCACATGCCAAAGAAGTCCAAAAGAGCTGTAGCAGCATTAGTGTCCCATTACATCATTGCACAGGGACACAGGATCATTTTCATATGATATACTACTAACTAAAACAGTAATTTGAACCCCTTGCTTCATGTACTGAGGAATTTAGTGCAGACAGAGTGAAGCTGCTAGACTGAACTGCATGTCATCTCTGACTGGACCATGACTCAAGGACTCAAGTATGTGTCCCTGAGGCAGACTTGTGGCTCTGTTGGTTGGGAGGCTGTTGGGGTTTTTTTGTTTGTTTTTTTTTTTTACAGTAATATAATCTTCAGCCCAGATAAAGATGCACAGATTGTGTGGATCACTTGAAAATGGGGAGGCTTGAGAAGGCACAAGGGGTATACAACACTTAGAAAATCGTAACTGCTGTAAACACATCAGGAAAGGGAGAAGGAGGGAGAAGCTTTGCCTGTGGGAGGGGAGCACAGCTGAAAATACTCCCAAGGCCCATGTCTTGACCTTTACATGAGCTGAATCTTTGATCTCAACAGAGAATTCTCACAAGCTCTGCAAGTACAGCCAAACATCAGCTCACGGATGTGCACAAAGCTGTGCCTTCTCCCTCCCTCATTCCCATGGGGAATAGCCCTGCAGGGTACCTCTTCACAGCTCCTCACTTAAGAGTCAATTCTTAAAGTTTATTTGTCGACTTGAGTGCTTTCTAATGTGGCACATACAGCTTTATTATTATTATTATTGTGATTTATCATTAGCAATTTCCATTAGTAACACAATAAATGGTCATACATTTATGTTCTTATGAACGCGGGTTCAGCAGGACAGAGAGAGCTGACCTCTCAACAGCCAGGGAGGGGTGCCAGCCACTCTCCCTAGGTGACAAGGACACACAGACCCCTTTCCCTCCTATTCAGGCAGAGCTCACTCTGCCCCCAGGCTGTGCTGCTAGACTGGACAAGAACCCTAGTTTTTACATCCCTCAGTTTTCCGAAATAGGATTTTGTTTCAAATCTACCTCCAAATAAGTCTTGTTTTTCAGACAAGAGAACTGGGACATGTAGAAATTAAGACCTGATTAGGCAAGTGGAATCAGTTTGAGGAGTCTAAATACTCCATCATCCTCTCTTGGCAAGTGTTTGCATCCCAGATTCTTGGCTTTTTTTTTAGTTTGTTTTCTCAAGAATTGCATTTTACTTGGGATTAATATGTGTTGGCATTGTACTTACACCAATCCTACGTAACCTGCAAACCTTCTCTTCCACATCTTTAACAGGAACCCATTTGCCTTCACAGAATCTGCTGAGTTGGAAGGGACTCACAAGGATCATGGAGCCCAGTTCCTGGCCCTGCACAGGACAGCTCCCAGAGTCACATCATGCACCCAGGACTATTTCACTCCTGCCTATCCTACAAGACAAGTAACTGCAATGGCTTGCACATATTCCAGGGAAGGGTAGGACTGCACTGGGAAATAACAAAAGTCACAGTCTGCAAAGGGGAAACTGTAAGCTTTGCTTAATTTCTATCTCATTAAAAGTGCTATGTCCTGGCTCTGAGAAACAAGAACTAAAGCTAAGTCAATTTTATTGTGAGCGAGTAATGGACAATGCAGATG